ATCTGGAATTCCCTTTGGTAGTCTCCAAATTTTGGGGTCATCTTACAGGTTTTAAAGCTGTTTTTCCTTGAAATAACTCATCACACTCCCCACTCATTCCTAGCTAAGAATTTGGATTTAATCTACTTACCACATTGGTGTATACATTTTTTACACGGGCAGATGAAATCTTCCTTTTGGTAAAAACAAGATCCAGCATCAATCAATACATTCCGTGATCTCTCATATAAAGAGAGCAGAGCCCTCGCGTTAGGCACCCACGCCTCTGTGAAGTGGAAAGAGCATAGCCCTCATCCCAGAGACAGCCCCGGATGGGAGTGAGACCTCTGGTCAGGGAGTCCGGGAGCTCAGGGTCTTACTCCCTCCAAGTGAGGACTTTATCAGTTCTCCCACACTCATTCTCTTTATCATCTACAGTACGTTCACGTTCTCTGGAATCCTTTCCAAGAGTAAAGTTCTTTCAAACAAAGACAAATATTTACGTGATCCCTCTGTGCCAAGCACTGGCGAGGAGCTGAAAATAGACACTCGGGGCAAAAAACAGTGAGGACATCTCTGTAGCATAATATATTTAATGCTCAAAATGCTTGGTCTTATTTATGGAATATTTTAATAATGAGAGAATGATTTTTACACCACCACCCCCCGAATGGAGCTGGTCGTCTTTGCCTTCCATCTTATACCCTGCTTTCTATCAGGAAGGAAGAAACCATCCTTGTCCCCTGTCCTGTGGCTGCCAAGTGTGTGGCCCACCCAATGTTTTGGCCTCTGTGCTCTTCTCTCACCACAAAACACCCTTGAACAGATGGAGCCAGGTGAGCGATGGGGGCCTGTGCCTTGGAGCCATGTGTGGAGTGACAGTGCATTTGTAAGGGGGCACATGGGTTAGGAGAGTCCATACTCTGCCACTCAATGGACATGAGACTTGGAGGAGATCTCTGAGCCTGCCAGCTTTCTGACCTGTAAATTAAGGGGAGGTAGGCACGGAAATGCTCCTCTGAGACCTACCTCTACACAGTGTGGAACGGACCAACGGCCTTAGCTTTGGCTAAAGTTCATCACCACACGAGCACCACCAGCAACTCCCAGCTAACATCTGAGAGTGGCAGTGTCACTTCTGGGAGAGACAGGCACATGTCTAGAGGATACAGGACTCCTTTGACCATCACTTTTGACCCAAGAGCCCTCCAGCAGCTCTGCACAGCTGTCCAAGACTCCCCACTCAAACTTCTTTCCTCTATTGTCCACAAACAAAAGACTTACATCGTGGCAATTTTTTCCCCAGCCTCCACTTCTCTATGAGTAGTTTCTCTAATCCATCTCCTACTTGTTTCATCCAAACTTAACACACTGAGACAATACCTTACTTTCCTTCTGCAAATGTTGCTGGGAAGATAGAGTCAGCAGAAAATATTTTATAAAGTACATAAGATTTTATATGAAGGAGAAAGGGTCACTCACTGGTTTAGTCACCACTACTGATCACGCCTCATAAAGAACCCTGGGCAAAAGCTCTGAAGACACAAAGGAATGATGCTTTTCTTTGAGTAGGTCACAGGCCTGAGGGGGCTTGCAGGACCCTAAGGGCCTTGCACTTCTATGGTAATATCTTTAACAAATATTTGACAGGGAAATGGGAGTTAAGAGAAAAGATGGAGAAAGGGCACCGAAAGAAGCAGCCATTACACCAAAGAACTGTGAGAGTTAGATCTCAGCTGTTCAAGGGTATGTGAGGGTTTTTAAATCATGCTCAAATGTAGTTTGATGCTCCACTCCTGCCAGAGCCTTGCCGCACCAGGGTGGCCCATGAGAGGGGATGGTTGTAACACATTTGCAGGCAAACTCTTCAAATGCTGCTACCATTTTGTGGCCCTGAATATTCAGCTAGACAACAGTCCTCCGGGAGAACATGCTCTGTGTTGTCATTTCCCAAAGGCGACACAATTGTACAACCCGAGCAGATGGAAAGATGATTGCAGTGGACGGGAAAGCTGTTAACAGTTTCCATTTGTAGCGAAAACCATTATTTTTAAACAGATCACTGCCAGAATTTGATGAATTTGGTACTCTGTGCACCCTCTGCTTTGCAGAAAGCCCTGTAGCTCTGTGAGATTTTGCAAAACAGTGATGGGACACTATTTTTGAACATTTGTTTATGTCAAAGGCATGGGCTCATAGAGTTTCACATTTAGCATGCTGTTAATCTCTAAACTGCCATTAATGTATAGTTCCCAGCCCTGAAAATTGGACTTCAAACTGAATCTTTTATTTAAAATATTCCTGCACCCCATCGTTCTATGTCAGGGCCCAGCTTGTTTATGGGAGAGCTTGATTACATAATTACATATTAGAAATCATTTGTAAGGAAAATTGATTGGTGTGTTTACAGCAAGGGTTTCACCAGAAATAACCCTGTCTCTAGCTCTAAGAGTGAAGTACCAACTTGAAAATGGAAAAAGAACTTCAAGAACCTGTCACCACCTTGTTTATTTCTCATCACAGGAAGGAGTAATTGTCCATAGAACAATCAGGCATAAAACTGTCTGCTTTGGACTACAGTATGATCCATAAATCAGGTTCTACGCAGTATGATGAGGTACTAGACAGGGAGCTCAATAGGAATGTGTGAAGGTCAAGTTCTATTTCCAACCTACCTGGGAACTTATAAGCAAATCATTCAACCTCTCCCAACCTCCACTACTCCATCAACAAATGGAAATACAATTTAAGGCTGCTGAGGGTAAGAAGTAGATCTCAAAGCACACATGCATATCACTCCAGCCTTTTGTCTAAGGGACAAAAGCATTATGACAGCACCTACTCAGCTTCCCCAGCCCCAGAGCTTCCAGGACAGGTCTCACCATTTCTCTGTGTCCTGCTTTCCTGTCTGCACGTTCCCTTGCCCACTGTATGGCTGCTGCTGCTTCTTCTCCTGCTCCTTCTTGCTATTCCTCTTCTTCCCTGTCCCCTGCCCCTTCTCCTCCTCCTCCTTCTTTCTCCTTCTCCCTCTTCCTCTTCTTCCCCATCCCCATCCCTTTCCCCTTCCCTTTGTCATCACCATTGTCGTCTTCCTCCTCCTCCTCCTCCTCCTCCTCCTTATTTTTTATTTTGGGCAGCAGGAAATTGGTTTTGTAATAGATAAATTCAAATTTTTCTATTTTTCTATCTGCAGGTTTTGCTTCTATTTCTTCAGAAATAAGGTATGTCCTTCTTTTTCATCAGTTGAGAGTGAGGAAAGCACACTAATTAAACCTCAAAAAAAGTACCAGTCCATGGAAGTGAAATAATGAAAAGACTAACATAGCAATTATGACAAGACCCTCACTTTCAGCCGTACTGGACGCTTCTGAGGAATAAAGAGCATAAGTGGAAGATTGCCACTATGTCTCGCACATGTTCTACTTTATTTCCAATTTCCTGGCATTTCTTCTGAAAATGTTGTTGTCATTATAAGGGCAAAATATAACAACTATGATGGACCGAAGATAGTGGTTTTTTTAAGGGAGTCAATATGAAGATTCCAAAAAAAAAAAAACAACTAAAACTATTACTTCCATTTGACCCAGTTATTCCCCCTCTATGTATCTTCCAAAAAGAATTAAAGATGTCATACTGCAGTGATACAAGCACACCCATATTTATAGAAGCACAATTACTAATGCACTAAATCTTGGAAGCAGCTTGTATGTCCATTATCAGATGAATGGATAAAGAAAATGTGGTATTTATATACAACAGAGCACCACTCTGCCAGAAAGAAAGGTAGACTTGAGTCACTTGTAGGTAAACTGATGCACCATGAGACCATAAATGAAATAAATCAGACACACAAATTTGAATATCACATGGCTTCTCATATAGAAACACAAACTATAAATAAAAATCAAAATAAAAGATAATAGGAGTTTTCTCAACAGGGGGATCAAGAAAATGAGGGAGGGAGGAGATAGAAGGAGGATGAAAAAAGGAATTAAGATGTGCTACGTACATTTACCAGCTCCATACCAGGGAGGTAAGCATTATGTACTGCAAACATACAATACATTTTTCTAAAAAGCAAAGGTAGTCTTAGAACACAGAAACCTTGTAGAACAGGTAACAAATGAGACCTTTCCTTATAAACTTGTCTTTTCTACCAGGATATAAACTCTTGTGGGCCTTTGCCTCCTCCATATACACTCATGCTTGTGAGCTTCCTTGGGGCAATGATGAGGCTCTATTCACCTCCTCAACGCTAGTGTCCATAGTGTGCCCCAATAATAATAATAATAATAATGGTCAGATAATTCAACTAAATCCTTTACCACTCCGGAGTAGATGTACTCATCCTGCAAGGAGTCTCCCCTCAAAACCCACCTCCTTTTTCTATCAATGTGTGCTGCATGTTTCCCTCCACAGTGATTCCAAAGGGTCTTACCCACACCCTTCAGTGCCTGTCACAATACAGTTTCTGTGTCTGTCCACCATCCTTACCCTGCATGCTTATTCTCAGCAAAGTCTGGCATGAAATAAATCGAACAGTCAGAGGTTGAGTTGTTTGAAGCTAGCACAGTCATGTACAATATTGGTAATTAATAAATGCTTGTTGAATTGAACTGAACTGAACTGAATTAGTGCTGGAATTTCCAATACTACAGTTGGATAAATTGCTACCTCCTTAGCTCTAGATTTAACCTTAATGATGTCCAAAGATGGATGAGCACAGCATAAACTGTTTCCCCTTCATCACCTGCCAAAACTCAAAATGCTGACACTTTTAATGCCCTGTTGATTCTTTTCCTTCTTACAAAGAGTAAGGTCGAACACGGTTTACTTGCAGTGATTGCATTGATCTCCATTCTTAAGATGCATTTGGATCTTCCTCTTGCAGTCAGTTGTCACTGACTTTGACAGGGAGAGACAGATACTGTCTGTGAGACACTTTGCGGAAGTCAAGACTCAGTATTCCACTGTGACCGGCCCAGGGAGCTGGAACTCATACCCAGACAGGGCTTACTTACCGTTATTATCTTCTTGGATGGGCTCTTTAGTGTCACTTTCAAAATGAGTCTTATGCAGGCAGAGATCTGTGCAATGTGAAAGGAGACATTAAATTATTTAAACTCCTAAATCAAATAAAATCTTCATCCTTTTTAATTTTATCATTTTTATTGCAGTCACATATGTAGTATATTAAAGAACACTGAGTACAAGAGCTACCAGAGTGAGCAGATGTGGATAGAGGACAACTCTTTACTTTGGAACAAGGATGCACAGTTTGAAAAACACATTCATAATTTGTGATTCAGTGAACCTTGAGAGTACTCTTGCAAGAACAACACATTCATCCTCTTTCTAAGGAAAGAGAAACCAAGGCGCAGGGAGAATAAGAAATAAATTGAATGCAACACAGCTGATAAGAGGTGCAATTGTCAAAGCCCTTGCTCCACCACACTTTACAACTAGGCAATTTGGATTTGTGACGTGAAAATATTCCCAGACACTTTCCCATGCAATATCTTAACTTATATAACAAAGACCCATTTACAGGGAAGATATTTGTACACTAACAAGTAATTCTCTTTAATGTGAAATTGGACAAGAAGTTGTGTGCTGAAAACTGTGAATGTTGACAAAAAATATCAAGGATCTAAACAAATGGAGAAAAATATTATGTTGATGGTTTGGAAGACTTTACATATTAAAGATGTCAATTCTCACCAAAATGACAGGTGGGTTTAACACAATGCCTAATAAAATCTTGGCAAGATATTTTTTAGATACAGACAAGATTATTCTAAAATGCATAGAAAAAACCAATGCTATAATGGCTAAATTGTTTTGAAAAAGGAAAACAAAGTAAAAGCACTTTGTCTACCCAATTTCAAGATATATTTTGTAACTTCAGTAATTAAGGCTGTGGCAAAACAATGGACATGCAGATCAGTGGAACCAAATAAAGAATCTAGAAATAGCCCACATTAATAAGACCAACTGACTTATGACAGTGGGGTTACTTCAGATGGTCACTCATAAGTGCTGTAAGGAGGACGCAAAGGGGGAGAAAGCAGAGGAGAAGGAAGAGGAGGAAGAAAATAGGAACAAGAACAAAAAAAGCTTTTCATTAAACTAATACTTATGCATTATTCAAAAATTAGCTCAAAATAGATTATCACCTTAAGCTAAGTCAAATATTATATAAAAGAATATCTTTTAGATCTAGAGCTAAGCAAAGAGTTCTTAAAATCAACAGAAAAAAACACAATACTAAATAAAATATTAATAAGTTTTACTTCAAATAAAATCTCTGTGTGTAAGATTTTTTAAGAAATAGAAAGACAAATTCGAGAGATGCAGATGAAAACAACACTGAGATTCCACCTCACCCCCCAAAGAATGGCTGCTATCAAGAAATCACACAATAACAAATGTTGGCGGGGTTGTGGGGAGAAAGGAACCCTCCTCCATTGTTGGTGGGAGTGCAGACTAGTGCAAACACTATGGAAATCAATATGGAGATACCTCAAAGAGCTTGGACTGGAGGTGCCATTTGACCCAGCCATCCCTCTGTTGGGTATCTTTCCAAGAGAACTAAAAGAATCATATCACAGAGAAGTATGCGCACCCATGTTTATAGCGGCACAGTTTGTAATAGCTAAATCTTGGAAACAACCTATTTGCCCATCCGTTGGAAACTGGATAAAGAAGTTGTGGTTTTTCTATAAAATGGAATATTACTCAGCCATAAAGAGCGAGAGAATAGATTCATTCATAGGAAAATGGATACATATTGAAGATATACTCCTAAGTGAAATAAATAAGTCCCACATGTGTAAATACCAAATAGTTTCCCTGGTGTGAATATTCTGCAACAATGCATAAGATTCTAATAAGATTACTGACATTTAGAAATGGGAGGAAAGGAGCTAAAGGTGTAGGGAAGGTGTGATACGTAGGGGAAGAACAAAAAGGGAAAAGAAAAAAATGTGAGAGAATGAAAAGATGAAAATAAAGTGTTTGTAGATGGGGAGGGGAGGAGGGGGTGAAGGGAGGGCAGAGGTAAGGGGAAAAAATGAGAATCAAGACTTGCCATGTAAAGGTACATGATCCCAACAATGAATGTAACTGTACTGTATCCCTAAATGTACCAATAAACTCAATAAAAAAAAAAAAGAAAGAAATAGAAAGACAAGAGATAAAATGAGCGAAAATAGTTTCAAATCACATATCCAATCAAGTATTACATATATAGGCTATGTTTTTAAAAACACTCAAAACTCAATAGTTTAAAAAAAAACCTCAATTTTAAAGTGGGCTAAAGACATAAAGAGACATTTCTCCAAAGAGAATACAGAGGTAGCAAATAAGCATGTGAAAATATATTTAACATTATTAGCTATTAGGGAAACAAAAACTACAATGAAATATCGTTATACATCTATTAGGACAGCTAAAACAATAATAGTGCCACAAGGTACTAGCAAGAATATAGAGGCCGGGGATTTAGCTCAGCGGTTCGGTGGCCTGCCTTGCAAGCGCAAGGACCCGAGTTCAATCCCCGGTACAAAAAAAAAGAATATAGAAAAAGTGAATTGTTCATACACTGCTGGTGGAGATATAAAATGACAGTCACTCTGGGAAACTTTTACAGGTTTTTAAAAGTACTAAATACACAACCATGATACAAGACAGATATAGCACTCCTGATCATTTATTACAGAGAAATGAAGGCTTATGGTCACACAATAGTCTAAACACAAATACTTACAACAGTTTTATTCATGATAGCCAACAACTGGGAATAACTCAGAGAGCCTGCAGTGGTTAAACTGCTGTAGCTTCACACTACATCATAATACTTAGCAATAAAAGGAAAGGCCTGATTAGTGCACACAATGACCTGAGTCGGTCTCAGAACACTATGCTAAGTGAAAAAGTCATGTGGGTGTTTTCTCCACAGCAACCAGTTCTCCAACTCTCTGGATATCAACTGGGTTTCTAAGGACTTGGTTCAATTCTAATACTACCTAGCAACTCTGGGTAGTGTTAAGGGCTTAGTCTCATGAGATTGCCCTCACTTCACATGCCAAAAGTAATTCATGGGCTATAGAGTTGGTGGTTCACATGACCCCCTCTGCTGGTTTAGTAAGTCACTAGGATGTCTTACACATCTCAGGATAGCATGTTACTTACTAGTAGTTATTACCACGAAGGATACATCTCAGGAATCGCCACATGGAATAGATGCTCTATCAGTCAATGCTTTCCAGAGAAACAGAACTGATAAGATCTATCATCTATCTATATATCTATCTGGATGAAATCATGTGAAAACATACGTATAAGCTGAAGCAGAATTTTGTCAATAATTAGAAAAAAAAAGAAGTGCAGAATTTTGTACCAATCTGCTTCCATCTTGTCTCAAATTTAATGTACATATTTTATATGAATTAGTACAAAATTATGTATACTGGATGTACCAACTATATGGATGGTTAGACAGATAATAGAATGAATGATAGAAAAATTTTTAAAAGATAGATATTTACAAGATGGGATTTATTACAGGAACTGGCTTATGTGATTACGGAGGGTGAGATATCTCACAAGAGGATGTCGGCAATCTGGAGATCCTAGGATGCTGCAGCATCATTTTTACGCAAGGGAGAACTCAGATTTAACGTGGAGACATGTACGTCCTCTTCAGGCCTAGAGTATTACCGTGTAGTGTGAACCTACAGCAGTCTCACCCTCGCAGCTCTCTGAGTTATTCCCAGTTGTCGGCTGTCAGGACTAAAGCTGCTGCAAGTATCAGGGCAGTCACTGTTTCTGAGTGCACTGACACCAAGGTTTGCATCGCACATCTCAGGGCCTTGGTCCTTCCTGGCCAGGTAGAGCAGACTTGTCTGGGTTGTTAGTGTCTTCTCTGAAACTCCACTATCACGGTACTTAAATTCCTAGGTTTGATTCTTTGCTTTTTTTTGTCTGTACTCTAGCTGCACAACATGGAGAGTGTTCTACTGTGTTGTTAAAAAGGCTCTCTAGCTTTTTTACTTTGATTTAATTTGTGATTGATAATTTTCAGCCTTTTATTGTATTTCTTTAACTTATCAATAACTGCCAGCAAAAGCAATCTGCTTCCATTGCTCTTGAGATTACTGCTTTTCTTGAACATCTGTAAGACTTTAGATATTGCCCCTGCCAGTCCATCCACCAATATCCTATCTCAGCTCTCCACCACTGAGAACGTGAACCACTGCAGCTACAATATACAGAGGGATATTAGCTCTTCACCTACCGCTTATGACAGAGTCTGATTGCCAACGAGCTGGCAGGCGATTCAACTCCAAAATCCCATTTTTAAATCTGTTTAACAGACCACTCCTAGCACTGTTTTCAGTTTGGGTTCCTTGGGAAATACTCTGAGATAATGATTTATGTGTAGGGAGTTTGTGAAGCAAAGCTTTTGCAACAACACAGATAAGAATGGAGGGGAGGAAGCAGAATTGGTCAGGGGGAGAAACTGATGAACGTGCAATACAGGTCTCAGATGATTCCACGGACAGCTGTGGAGCTGAGATTGACCTTTCAAGTTGTCCCAAACCTGGATGTTGGCTGAGTCTTTGTACACCCACATTATCTGATAACCCTGAGAAGAGAGTGTAACATGGGGTGAAGGCCCTCAACTATACTCTGGGTGACAAAGAAGTACTTAGCGGTCCTTCTAAAGCTACTACATTAGCATTTGGGGATGCTCTGAGTTTAGTGTAGCATTGTTTGCATTAGCCAAGGGGAAAAGACTAAGACTGAGACAGCCTAAAAACGGAACGTCACGTTCAAGTGAAGGAATACCAGCCAGCTAGCCCTTTAAAGCAGTGAGTTGGACCACTGATTGTGCTGATAGCTCCAAGATGCGATATTAGCTGAAAAGGAGAGAGAGAAAGTACAGAACTATGTATTAATCTGTCTCAGACGATTTGTTTCAAGTCATATGTACATGTTTTTTAATGAATTTATACAAAGATTTTCCATGAATACAAAATAAACTTTTAGTGCTGACCACTTTTCTGAGGGAGGGAGGTGGGAA